ATATATCGTCACAAACAGAACTGCCCGGTAAAACCGTAGGCAGAGAGAGAGAAGAGGACAACAAACGAGGGGCTGTGACAAACTGTTTCGTCGGAGTTCCACCGACTCATCAGGAGGCTGAACCCTCAACACTCTGCAGAATCCCCTCACTGATTACACTGTAAATGATAATCTACCTTAACCAAAATCAAAGTAGACTATCACTCACATATACATATATACATATATATATATATATATGCTACGACTTCGCTAGCTTCCTGCTACGGTTTTTTCCGGTCAGGTCGAGCCGCAGTGGTCGGGGCCGTTACTAGGAGGCCATGTTGTGCCTCTAGTGCCAGTGGCGTGTCTGGAGTGTATTTTTTGGCTGTGACAGTTCTTTGTTTCGTGGATGTTTTGYTGGCTTGTGATGGGGTGTGAACCGACAGTCTGTAGAGTTTTCCATCTGGTGTGGGTGAGTGATAGTCAACTTTGATTTTGGTTAAGGTAGATTATCATTTACAGTGTAATCAGTGAGGGGATTCTGCAAGCTGTTGAGGGTTCAGCCTCCTGACGAGTCGGTGAAACTCCGACGAAACAGTTTGTCACAGCCCCTCGTTTGTTGTCCTCTTTTCTCTTTCTGGCTACGGTTTACCGGGCAGTTCTGTTTGTGACGATATATATATATAGAGTCGGTGAGACTCCGACGAAACAGTTTGTCACAGCCCTCATTTGTTGTCCTCTTCTCTCTCTCTGCCTACGGTTTTACCGGGCAGCTACAGGGTTACCAGCCCGTACGTATGGGTAAGCTCGGTTCTTCAACGAGGGGGGGGTGCGGCATACTGCGTAGCCACACGGGCCCTGCAGGGCCTGTCCCGGACATTCAGCCTAAATGCCTAAAACTTAGGGCTTACAGGCCCCGTTCGTTTCAGCCTGGATGCTGAAAAACGAGGGCCTGCAGGCCCTACCCCATTTCAGCCTAATTCTGGGTCTTTTTAGACCCAGAGTTTTCAGCCTGAAACGGAGGGCCATTTTCAGGCCCTCATTGTTTCGACCTGCCCCTAAGACTCAGGCACGTAAACAGGGATGCGGAATAGGCCAAAAATAGCCTGTTCCTCACGAGTTTGAGCAGGAGCTGCAGCTGCAGCCCCTGCCTCCCTTTGGCAGTCACAGGAGGCACACCCGTAGTACATAGGAAGTTTCCATGCACTTCACAGGTAGGTAGTGTCAGTAGGCAGTGGTAGTCTTCAGGATATCGGCAGCAGCACTCAGGAGGAGCGCTGCAGTAGTCTTCAGCGCTAGGTAGGATTAGCGCTGGCTGTAGTCTTCGGCGCTGGGCGCCATAGCTGTAGCTGTAGTCTTCAGCGCTCGGCGCTGGTAGGTGGTAGATCGTAGAGTGGGAGAGAGACTGGCGGAGGCCAGTGTTACTTACCTGTGGCGCAATCGCCCCAGCTCCATCTTCGTGGTACCTGCATCAAGGCGCCAACTTCAGAGGTTAGTACTAGACACACAGAGAGAGAGAGAGTTCTTCTTCTTCCTCTTCGAAGTCCACCTTCTTGTCTCACCCTCTCGCCACCTGACTTCTGAGACTACGACAGAGAGAGACAGAGTTGTGACTTGAGACTTGACGACATTGGATCCAGACTTGACATTTGGGATTCAGACATTYCGACGAGGGACTATTTGGGCTTGTGTCGAAGACTTGGTGTTGACGACATTCCCATCTTCCCCCTCCTCTTCGTCTATCCCCTTCCTCTTCGTCTGCGTATGTTCTGGGCTGGCGCTGTCTTCCTGTGTGAAGCGCCAAATCCATTCACACTATGAAACGATGACGATGATATATGTTCAGGGCTGAATTACAACATTGATTGTTCGGATCACTGATATCTAAGTCTTCCGCTGTCTTATCTTGTACTCTGTATTGAAAGGTCGGTTCTTGATCGGGTCTGCACGTTACGTGCAACAGTCCACCGCATGCACGGTTTCATCACCATCGGCAACCGATTCGGCAGCTTCGCCGCAACCTATCACCGGGGATTCAACGTCATGGTCAAGACTTGAAGAGCTCGACCCATTGACGTTCACGGACTTCCAGTGGATGCCCGTTCCCTCGACCGGACGATTGCCGAMACCGCATTGCAACGTGCTTATGGCACAATTGCGGGACTACTTGCACACTGCAGTACCAGCTCCATTGATGGACGCCGGAGCAGAGGTTGTCGACCTTCACGTTTTCATCGCGAAGATCGACCGCGAGTTATAGACGCAACGGTACGACCAAATCGACTCACCATTGCTATACATACGCATTCAGATCGGAGAGGCGACCTGCAGTGCCTTGATCAATTGCGGAGCATCTCGCAACTACATCAGCCAGGACTTCATGGTACGCGCCGGCCTTGGCCCACGTGTCCGGAGGAAGTCCCAGCCTACGCAAGTCACTCTGGCAGACGGTCATACACACAAGTCCATCGACCGGTGCATTGACGCCGTCCCAGTGTACTTTGCCCCTCACGCAAGTGAGGCRGTGTCCTTTGACATTCTGGACACCAAATTCGACATGATCTTGGGCATGTCATGGCTGCGAAGCGAGGATCACCCGGTGAACTTCTTCAACCGCACCGTTCACGTTCGTGATCGGAACGGAGTATTAGTTCCGTGCACGGTGCCTATTCCTCATCCTTCGATCAACTGCCACATGGTATCTGCCGCAAGCATGCGAGCTTCCATCATCAGAGACGACATCGAGGAGATGGGGGTGTGTTTTCTCCATGCCCTCCCGCCACATGACGCTTCATCGACGGACTCACCTTCGGATCCACGCATCACCGAACTTCTCGATGCCTACAGCGGCGTATTCGAAGGCCCGCACGGGGTAGTACCGGATCGACCCATCCACCACGAGATCATCCTCGAGGACGGGGCCGTACCTCCGTGCGGTTGCATCTACCGAATGAGCGAGGAAGAGTTAAGTGTGCTTCGGGCACAACTCGACGACCTTCTGGAGAAAGGTTGGATTCGGCCTAGCTCATCGCCATACGATGCTCCTGTTCTCTTCGTCCGGAAGAAGAACAAGGACTTGCAGTTGTGCATCGATTATCGCAAGCTCAACGCGCAGACGATCAGGAACGCCGAACCTCTCCCACGCATCGATGACCTTCTCGAGCGATTGGGCGGTGCCCAGTTCTTCTTTAAGCTGGATCTCAAGTCAGGGTACCACCAACTCGAGATTCGTAGGGAGGATCGTTACAAGACCGCGTTCAAGACACGGTATGGGCATTTCGAATGGCTGGTCATGCCATTTGGCCTTACGAATGCCCCAACCACTTTCCAAGCGGCTATGACGACGGAGTTCCGACACATGCTGGATCGTTTCGTACTTATCTACCTCGACGACATTCTGGTTTACAGCCGGAGTCTGGACGAGCATGTAGAACACCAGCGCACCATTTTGGAGCGGCTACGACAGGCCAAGAACAAAGCAAACTGCGACAAATGCGAGTTCGCACAGCAGGAGATGGAGTACTTGGGACACTATGTGACGCCGCAGGGCATCCGTCCGCTTGCAGACAAGATCGAGGCCCTACGTGTATGGCCCGAGCCCACCAACACCACAGACGTTCGTTCATTCATGGAATTGGCGGGCTACTATCAACGATTCATCACCGGATACTCTAGGATTGCTGCACCTATGACGAGGTTATAGTCGCTTAAGGTGCCATTCGTATTCGATCACGACGCACGCCGGTCATTCCAAACACTTAAGACTGCTATGCTCATGGCACTCGTCCTTCGCATCTATGACCCCACCCTGCCGACGCGAGTGACTACGGACGCTTCCGGCTATGGCATTGGGGCAGTCTTGGAACAGCACGACGGCGACGACTRGCACGCTGTGGAGTATTTCAGCCACAAAGTGYCTCCCATCAACTCGCTTGATGATGCAAGGAAGAAGGAGCTGCTCGCATTCGTGATGGCTCTCAAGCGCTGGCGGCACTTCCTCCTTGGGCGTCGTAGGTTCACATGGGTCACAGACAACAATCCATTGACCTACTATAAAACGCAGGACGTGGTGAGCAGCACGATCGGACGATGGATGTACTCCATCGACCGATTTGACTTCACACCGAAACATGTCCCCGGCCTCTCCAATCGCGCAGCAGATGCACTCTTGCGAAGACCTGATCTTTGCGCTATGTCACATCATGCCTTCGCATTCGACGAGGAGYTTCAGCGACACTTCATCCGGGCATATCAGTCTGATCCGGACTTCGGCATGCTCTATGCACAACTATCTTCGGATTACCCGCCGGCCAGCCATTACCGCATTGCCGACGGGTACTTGCTTCTCCACTCGAGAGGCAAGGACTTACTATGTGTCCCACGCGACCGTCGTCTTCGGACTCGCCTCCTTGGCGAGTACCATGATTCACGACTCGCCGGCCATTTCGGAGTCAACCGCACTATTGCACGGCTTCGACAGCGATTCCGATGGCCCGACCTCATTACCGATGTCACTCGGTATTGCGACTCTTGCGAAGTTTGCTGACGCAGCAAGCCCTGCAACCGCAATCCCTACGGCGAGTTACACCCGATGCCTGTCCCATGGGAACCCGGTCTCTCCATCGCCATGGACGTCACCGGTCCGTTTCCTCGCGACCCGCTCGGGTACGACGACATCCTCACGGTTGTGGACCAATTGAGTAAGTACGCGCGTTTTCTCCCTTGCAAGTACTACTCCACGGCTCCCGAGCTGACACGCCTCCTGCACACTGGTTGGATTTGTGGCCACGGTGTACCAGGAGACATTGTCAGCGACCGCGACACTCGTTTCATATCGGCGTTTTGGACTGCTCTCATGCAGGAGTCCGACACAACAATGAAACCAAGTTCGGCTTGACATCCTCAGACAGGCGGGCAGACGGAGCGGGCACATCAAACCGCTCAAATGATGCTTCGTACGCTCATCCGTCCGGACTAGAAAGATTGGGTTGACCGCCTCCTCGACATCGAGTTYGCCTACAACACTTYGGTGCATCCGGCGATCGGCGTGACTCCATTTGAGTTCCACCACGGTGGACGGAAAGGCCGGATCTTCGCCGACTTTCTCCTCCCTCGACCAGCGACATTGACGCTGCCCGCTCTCCCGCATCCGTTCGGAAGTACAAGGAATTGTTGACTCAACCCYKSGCAAATATGCAAAAGGCTMAAGTCCGCATGCAACAGTAAGCCAACAGGCGTCGCGTACCATGTCCCATCCACGCCGGTGATCTGGTTTGGGTCTCCGTGGAAGAGTTTGCACAGGATTAGGATGTTTCACGCAAACTGCTTCCCAAGTGGTTTGGACCTTGGTCTGTGACAGCAGCTGCGGGCGATGAGCCTGATGGCCCTTCATTTGTGATCAACATTCCAGAGCATCTTACAGTCCATCCGGTCTTCCACGCCTCGAAGCTGGCAACATACACGCCAGCCAAGAGCGACGACTTTCCGGACCGACGATCGCAAGACCCTCCTTCTATGGATGGCCATCAGGAAGTTGACCGCGTCATCTCCGATCGCAACTACGGCAGCAAGCCGCAGCAATACAAAGTCACATTCAAAGCATGTGATCGCGACGACACTCGATGGATTTCAGGCGCAGATTTGAAAGCATCCGCACCGCTGATCTACGCGCATTATGAAAAGCGCAGGTTAGCTCAAGACGCTTCACGACAAGCCCCTCCACCCGGACTGCGGTCCCTCCCTCATACAGACAGCTTCGCCCTCGCAGGTAAGCTCGGTTCTTCAAGGACGGGGGGGTGTGGCRTACTGCGTAGCCACACGGGCCCTGTAGTGCCCGTCCTGGACATTCAGCCTAAAAGCCTAAAACTTAGGGCTTACAGGCCCCATTCGTTTCAGCCTGGATGCTGAAAAACGAGGGCCTGAAGGCCCTACCCCGTTTCAGCCTATTTCTGGGTCTTTCCAGACCCAGAGTTTTCAGCCTCAAAAAGAGGGTCATTTTCAGGCCCTCGTTGTTTCGACCTGCCCCTAAGACTGAGGCATGTAAACAGGGATGCGGAACAGGCCAGAAATAGCCTGTTCCTCACGAGTTTGAGCAGGAGCTGCAGCTGCAGCCCCTGCCTCCCTTCGGCAGGCTCAGGAGGCACACCCGTAGTACATAGGAAGTTCCCATGCACTTCACAGGTAGGTAGTGTTCAGTAGACACGAGTAGTCTTCAGGATTCGGCCGCAGCACTTAGGAGGAGCGCTGCAGTAGTCTTCAGCGCTAGGCAGTAGGGTAGCGTTAGCTGTAGTCTCCGGCGCTGGGTGCCATAGCTGTAGCTGTAGTCTTCAGCGCTGGGCGCTGGTAGGTGGTAGATCGCAGAGTGGGAGAGAGACTGGCGGAGGCCAGTGTTATTTACCTGTGGCGCCATCGCTCCAGCTCCATCTTCGTGGTACCTGCATCAAGGCGCAAATTTCACAGGTTAGTACTGGACACASAGAGAGAGAGAGTTCTTCTTCTTCCTCTTCTAAGTCCACCTTCTCTTCTCACCCTCTCGCCACCTGACTTCTGAGACTACGACAGAGAGAGACAGAGTTGTGACTTGAGACTTGACGACATTGGATCCAGACTTGACATTTGGGATTCAGACATTTCGACGATAGACTATTTGGGCTTATGCCAAAGAATTGGTGTTGACGACATCCCCATCTTCCCCCTCCTCTTCGTCTATCCCCTTCCTCTTCGTCTGTGTATGGTATGGGCTGGCGCTGTCTTCCTGTCTGAAGCGCCAGACCCATTCACACCATGTAACGATGATGATGATGTGTGTTCAGGGCTGCATTACAACATTGATTGTTCGGATCACTGGTATCTAAGTCTTCCGCTGGGTTATCTTGTACTTTGTATTGAAAGGTCGTTTCTTGTTCTGGTCTGCACCTTACAGTATGCAGACTTGAACAAGAACCGACCTTTCAATACAAAGTACAAGATAACACAGCGGAAGACTTAGATACCAGCGGACTGTGCACGTGGGGCCATCGAGCATCCGCATTGGCCCGACCCTCGAGCGGCGAGGCGATGCCCGACCATTGGGTGTCGTGGCGGTGCTCGATGGCCCGGCGGACGGTGCACGTGGGGCGACCATCGGCTGTCGCCGCGGCGCCCGATGGTGTAGACGGGGC